CTAATTCTAATTGAAGGTATCACCGTATTACCCCTTTTTCAAACCCTGTTTAAAATTTGCTCATAAAATTCTTGTTGAACAAACTCACTGATATGTTGTGCTTCTCGGGGATTCTAAAAAGTGAGTAACTTCCATAAACTGCAACAGAGTATACTTGCCAGATGTATATGCATTTAATTAGTATGAAAATCGCAGGGATATTTGTTATAACACGAATAGGGTCGATGAAAGCTACTTTACTTTCGTTACGTGTTCCTATCATTTTTAATTATCTATGTTTTAGTCAAGACAAAAATAAAATAGGTATATAGTCTCTCCGGACGAATGCTCAACGGATAAAATCAGTTGCCACGTCAACGAATGTAAGTTCCGTTTATGAATGGATTTCGTTCCATAAATAGGTTTTCTGATATTTTTCTACCTACATCATCTCGAGAACATGCTACTCTTTATGTGTTTTGTTGATGATTTTAACAGACATGATGTAACTTCCCCCACCACACTAAGTCTACAAAATTTGGTACATTTTCCTACCAGACTCAATTCACAGCTAGATTTCGTTTTTACAAATAGACCGCAAGTTTTCAACGTCCAGAAACATGCTCCTCTGAGAAGTTCAGATCATTGTATCTTAAAAGTATGTCCCACTGTATACAGCAAAACGAACAGGTACACGTTTTTAAGAAGATCATGCAAGAAAATGAGTCGAAGGAATTGGACTTCGGAGAACCTAGAAAGGCTAAGATCCCTGATTGATGTCACAGATTTTTCGTTGTTTCCAGCTCAGAACCCTGTCCTCAGTGAACGTGTTAATCTTTTGCTTTAACCAGTGTCACCCAATGTGAATGCTCTTTATCCCTAAAGACAGATATTCATCACGGCTACTAAAACAGCTACACAGGCTGAAAGAACAAGCATATAATCATGAATAGAAAACCCATGTCAAGTGGCTTGGCATTTTGATCAAATCTGAAATAAATCGGTTGACTAAATTGTACGTTGACACTATCCTGGGAAACTTCATTTGTCGTGGCACGTGGAGGGCTATCAACAGCCTGTGTGGCAGCACCAATAAACACAAAAGGGAAACTGTCGACGCTGAAAGACTAAATTCTGAGTTTAGTTCAGTTTCACAGTGCACTAACTGCCCTGCCAGACTTAGTCAGCTCTACACCGGCACCAACTTCGAACCCACCACAGTCCTCGAACAGCTACGGAAAACGAAGTTAAATAAATTATCTGGTCCGGATGAACTATCACCCGTGGTACTCAAGGTATGTGCGGACACTCTTTCAGCCACACTGTCTAAAACATACAATGGCTGCCTGATAAGCGGAAAAATCCCTGATATTTGGAAATTGGCTAAGATAACTCCCGTTCCAGAAAGGGAACCTGGGAATTGTCGTCCCATCGCCTGCACGTCAGTCATGCTCAAATTATTTGAGAGATGCTTGCTACCGTGGGTTAAAATCGAGTCTGCCCAAGACGATATACATCAGTTCGTATATCGTTCTGCGCGATCAACATTTGATGCCGTTGCACACCGTGTTCATTCAATAATTTTGGCACGGGAGAAAAAAGTAAGGCCGTCAGAATGGTGTCCTTATACTACAAAAACGCTTTCGGCAGTCTTGATCGATCGGTATTGCTCAACCTGAGTACCGAAAGTGGTTTTAATCCAAACGTTAGCGGATTGATCCTCGATTATTTCACAAATGGAAGGCAGTTCACGTACCTCAACGGCAAAAGAATCCGCCACTCGCCCGGTTGCTTCTGTTGTTCTGCAAGGTGCAATATTTTCCCTATTTTTCTTCTCAATGTGAAACAATTTCGCATTCGCCCTGTATTCATTGGCCGCAAATACGCAGATGAAGTTGTTTTAGGTGGCATAGCATCCACTCCTGAAGAGATATCAGAAATTCAAATCAAGCTAAACGACGTTATTACTTGGTCCTTGTTCCGTTCCCTCTCATTGAATGCCTTTGTCAGTGTGTTGTATTTTCCCTCTTGGCCAACATACCATCTTCCGCTCTCACAGATAAGTTCCCCACAGTCTCTGCCAATCATGAACTCGCACCGAAATCAGCAATGGAGAAATACCTTGGCGTCATAATATCACAACTTATCATAGTCATTTCATGTTCAAAACACATTCTGTAAAGTTATAAAGCTTTTATATTTCTCACTCCGATTGAGAATACTTTCTGTCTCCCACAAACTGGTTGTTAGATTTTTGAACACAGGCGTGGTTGTTCTGCCCCCCCCCCCAGTGACTTTCCCCGGTATGCTAAAAAAAACTGGCGATATTTCTAAAACACACCTGTAAATGTAGCAATATCGTTTGATATAAACTTGCATACTGTATCAGAGACAGACACCTACAAGCATTTGGAAATTTCACTCCCAAAATACTCTCAGATACTCAGCATTCATTACAAAACGAATTTCCAAAAGCTTTATCTACATCATCCACACGCTCCAGATTTAAATTTTTAGTTACACATACCTCTTCTTATCGTAATTCTGTTTTGCCATATCTAGCACGTTTACTTACAAGGAGAAAATTTCCACAGAATTGCGCAATTGCTTGTTTCATTAACAAACACAAAATCCACTGTTCTCAGTGTCGTTATGTATGATTTTTTAAATTTGAATCCACCAATATGGTGTGAATGCTGATAATTCACCCATCCGGGTGCATCTACTGACTTGACTTGATTTAATCGAACAAACTAAAATATTTTATGATGCCTCCAGCGTAACGTTGGAGCATTGCATTCGGCATGCAGATGTTTTCATTTTCAAGTTTCTATTTATGAAATTTTCTAACAGAGTTCTTGAGCTTTAATACCCCCAAGGTTGCCCTGTTCGTTTTTAACGTAAGACTGATCACAGAATTGAGTACATGACTTCTTTCGGGATCTAGGATGGTTGGGGCCATGATAAATAGAGTGCGTCTGGCTATTTATAATCGACCATACATACGCTATTCAATACTGCATTCGTCGGAAAAACCGCAGAAACTACCTGGTTGAAAAGATGGAAGATGTCTGTTACAAGTTGTGCGCAGTATATTACCTTTTTTTACATATTCCAATCTCTCATTAAACAATCGAATTCCTGAATGACTCTGCGAAATCTGTTTGTTGTGTATTTCTGGACTATTCATCTGCTTTTGATTCTATTTCTCGTTCCCTTCTTCTTCTTCTTCTTAGACTGGAGATCTCCGGTTATCCCAAGAAGTTATTAGCTTGGTCCGCAGCAGGCTAGATAGGGGGATTTCCAAACCATTGGTTATCAATTATGGGATACTCCAAGGTGCACTCCTTGCTCTATACTTATTTTCTACGTACCTCGGCGATCTGTCCGGTAACACTCCCAATTCTTGCTGCAAATACGTTGTGGTTTTGTCAAGCCATCTCCGATTCTTCTGATAGTTCACAACTTTGTGACAACTTGGAAAACGTTCCAAAAGTTTCCGTTACATCCGGTCTCTCTTAATCTCTCCAAATATCTCGAATGTCTCTTTCAATAAGCACATTCTTCTTTCCAATCTGAAGCGGTATCGATGCTTTCTGGACCATTATCCCGAGTGATGTAATAAATATCTCGGTATTTTTATCGAAGCTAATATTTACTGGACCTCTCACATTCAACACATCGCCAGTAAACTTCGACGTCTTTCTTTCCATATCCGTAAACTTCGTCAGTTTCGTATTTACCAATTTCTTATCTCCAAATTCGCTCACCATTAGGTTTTCCCCCGTTTTACTTTACTGTTCACCTGTTGTTTTCCAATCTCCTAACGAAAGACTTTAAACTGATTGGATGAGAACTGACCATCGTTAGTCGTGTCTCTTCAATACCGTTAGAGGAGTTGGTAACTATTATTGAACCCAATCATCCAGTATATAGCGATTTAACTTCCTGTCGTTCCGTTCCGTTAACTAGATCCCAAGATCGTTGTTTTCTCTCTCAAATAAACATATATCGTAACCTTATGTCACCCTCTTGAGCACGTATTCCATTTAACAATGAAAACGTTTTCACATACTTTGTTAAAGGTTCTGCAGTTTAACTTTTTTCCTCTTTTCTTCCTCCTTCTCTCCAATTTGTACACTTTTAACTTTTACCCAAGCTTTACGAAAAACCTTAGGTGACAAGAAAAACAACCTACTGTGGGAATTTTCCACGATAAAACTTTAACTTTGATTTCAACTTTGCGTAATCAGGAGGTTAGTTATTACGTATTCGGTCCGTTTGGGTTTGCTCAAAATGTGAACTTATCGGAAATTTAAAACTCTTCTCCGTGGTGCGACATAGCAAGGGATTAACTACATTACCTTTACATAGCAATTTATAATAGTCGTGTTGTAAGCTGTTTCAGGCTGACACATCATGCCCCCTCCTCGCATCGAATTAGCGCCCTCACTGACACAGACAACGTGAGCTAGAACGAGAAAACGCTCTCGGCCCACAGGAGAGATTACATCAGGGCAGCTCTAAATGCAGCACTTCTACAATTACAAACCACAAGGTACCGCTATTGATCGTACCATCTCTTTAAATCATAGTAGAGGAATTTTACACGTGGACAACACAGCTGGTATTTCGAAACCACATTTCAAACAAACCGATGCTTATCCCTCTTAGATGAGTTTGGCTGTAGCACTACCACTCGATTATTATAGTTCGCGATGAAAGATCGTAATCCGACGGCCCCCAGAAATGAAGAAACGCTACCGAATATGATCCTATCCCAGTCTTAAAGTACAGTTATCATGAATCATGACCATGATTTGTTAAATTTGGCATGCGATTGATGAATTTTTAACTTGTGTCTCAAACGGTGTGCGAAATCCTTTGAGAATTGAACAACCACATAGATCTGTCACTCGGAATACGAGTTTATTGCAAATTGAATACAATTAATGAAAATATGTCAACCATGTTTCGGTTGAAATGATCTCACGGGAAGCGGTGACTTCAATGTCACGAGATTACTGGTCTGTGTACTTTTCAAGACGAGCAGTGATCCGGTTCAAGACTATGATAAAACGATTATCAATTTAGTGTACGTAAAAAGGCAACTTACAAATAACGACCACATCAGTGATTTTCTCTCCGAGGTCGTCCTTGGCAAAGTAGGCTACTACTCGGTCACGCGCTTTCTCGTACACTTTCATCATAGCTTCTCTCAGGGCTTTCACCATCTTTGCACCACTTTCACGCTAAAATCAATGAGACGAAATAAACGAAACGGTTTAACCACCCCGGACGGTTTTGTCACAACTTACCAACTTTTGTCGGCTCTCTTCACTTGGTCTCGCTCTACAATCGGATAAGGAGGAGCGGGATGATCTAAGCGATGTGTACCGAGACTTACTCAGCATAGGCAGCGAAAAGAACGACGGCAAGGCAGACAAGAACAATGGCTCGCATGATGCTGATGTGATTCGGACTTCCTCGGAGAGCTTGAATCGCCAAACTTTGGCTAGCTTAACGATGATAGTCTCAACTTGTTGCTCTCCTCTATTTATATGGTCAGGGGATCCAATTGAACAAATAAAAAAGTCGTGAATATATCGATGCACCCAAAGTGATCCTGATTTCAGCTTTTGTGACGGCATCGCAAATATCTAAACCGGATGAGCTAGCTAACTGTGTGTTACCGCACACCGACTTTGACAGATGACTGTTCGGCCATTATCACTGATCGTGACCGGTCTGGCTAGTCTCGTCAAGGTAGTACTAGTAGTAGAAGTAGTGGTAAAGTTTGCCCCCCCCCAATCCCTTATCAGAGTGTCTTTGAATGATGTTTCGATTACCGGGGATTCACATGTCGAACAGCTATTTGTGTATGCCTATCGAGTTTGCACGTGTTATACGGGAACACCATGTTGTCAGGACTGTGATATGCGCATTCCAATAAAGTGTGCTCCTGTTGCATACAAACACAAATATAAACTACTGCGTGGACAAAACTCCCGCAGATTGTGGAATGTATACACAACTGTGGTTTAATGCATAATGCATTTTTCGACCAAATTCCTTTTTTTCAATTATTGATTGACGGTTTCAGATGTTCAGATACATTCACATTTCGCATCTAACTCTTAAACTGTTCGAATCGCGGCCTTACAAATTCACTCCGCCGGCCTATTCCTCTCAAGCGGTTTCGACCATCTCTGTACATCGCTCACACGGGATTGAGAGAAAATCACATACCCGATGAATCCACTGGACGTCAATTAGATGTGAACTAAAATTGTTAGTATATTATAACTGTGATTGTTTTTAGACGATACTGGAAAAAGATGGATAACCTCTTTGGGATTCGAACCCAGGTTACCTGGAAGACGGAACAGTTTGATTGTGTTCGTGGTGCATGATAACATACGTCATAGCGGAGAATATCTCTCACGATCAATCAATGCTGTTCAATATTGTTCCAGTAGTCGGTCAAATTTTAATATGTAGTCTGTTCCATCCGTTCCACGAAATCAGAGCTAATTTAAACTTCCAAATTCGTTATTGATAGTATTCTTTGTGTTGTATGAACACCAAGAAAGGCGTGTTTATAGTCGTCCAGTGTTTGGACCATCCCTGTTCTTCGGCCTCAACTCTTGAGGGATAAGCATAAATGTGCCTGTTTGTTTTAAGTCAGCCACTGAGAAAACTAAACGAAATGTTAACATCTCGCGACATTTGTCTTCTTTCTGTTTTGATGAAATGGATAAGGGGAACTCAATGCTTGCTGAATAAATTCTGCCTCAAATTGACACTACATGCACACAGCTGCACCACTGTCCTACTGCCCATCTTCCTACTTTTCCCGTGTGTTGTTGGTTTCATCCTCCCAATGATCCATGTCTATGTTCTCCACGCTGTTTAAACATGCGCACGCACTATTGGTATGTTAGCTCCGCTGCGTTGTCCTCTATGTCGGTCTCGCCTGTCTCATTGATCCGTGCCCATGATCGACTGACCCACACCCACCCACTCACCCGCCTACCTCACACACAGAGGCTTACCGCACTGTCATATTGTAACGAGAAGGCGATTCGGCTGGCAACACGTTTATTGATCCAGTTCAAAAACACCCGGTGCATGCGTTCGATTGCATACAACCAATTCTCGGCAGGATGATTCACGCCTCATTCTGTTGGTTTTGGTCCGCGATTAGCATGTCCGTTTCCTCTTCTTCCGCGTGCCTTTCCGATTGTTTGACCCGATCGTAGCGCGAGATACGTTGATCAACAACTCCGACGTTGTGGTGTTCGGCGGATATCTTTCTGCCTAGATGCAGATTGTCCGTCGGGCTTCAATTGTCGAATCGTTCGTTTCGATTGGTGGTCGACATTGTCTCGTGAAGTACTTCCAGCCACTACGTCTGCGCACCTGGTTGGATCGACCCTATTCTTGATTCGTTCGCTAGCCGGGACTCTCTTTGTACCACCTTCCATCACAATATCACGACGCCCCCTAATGACTAACAATCACACCCACTGTATTCCAGTTGGTTCCCTCTAGGTCACTTCCCACCGTTGACTATAGTACAGATGCATGTAATCTTGTTTGATATTGTTTGCTGTAGTCGTTCCATTGTCTTCGTGCCGCGCACCTGCTTGCTCGCAGTTCTTGCCTGTTGAATTACTGGCTTCACATACTCCGGCATTGGTTAAACCGGATAGTGCCACAGATTGAGGTTTGCATATTTACACTATTGTAATCCGTATTTCAGTACCGCTTTTGTTTAGAAGAAACCCATGTGTTGAAGGACACCGTCTTCCGGTTTATTTATGCTTCACTCTACGCGAATCTTTGTAGTCTGTGAAGTCAACAATAGTAAAAGTGATTTCAGAACTACAAAACATGAATGATAACGTTAGAATTTGCACTAAAAAGAACTTCTTTCTCATCCCGGTCGAAATTCCCCAAAATAAAAATCAAGAAAATAAGTTAGTTATTCAGGAGATCAGATATTTACTGATCAAGTTATTCAGGTTTATTTGTCTCACAGTCAACATAAATTTGTACAGTATAATTCCACTTTATTGGTCTGAGGAGACAAAAGAACTTGAGTTAACCAGTAAAACGTTTACTGAATTTCCATCAGCCTCGGTTCGTAGTTTGATACCTAGTCATTGTGCACTGAATGAACGAAGAAGACTATCGTTCTTGGAACACACTGAAAGTTGTACACTACTGCTCACATTTCGTCGAAAAGCCGGTGTCACAGACGGTCAGGGACGCAGATGATTGTTAGCGTCCATAAAATTGTAATATTTGTGATGTGAAAGGGTAGGAATCCATCACCTTGAGTAGACGCTGTGAGAACAGGCAGTGTACCTCTGAATACACTGACATTTTCCAGTTTTGTCAACGTTACCCGCTAGGTTCCACGCGGATTTGTACTTGGTTCCCAACTTCTCCTCCCATTCATAAATGATCCACAGAATGTCTTAGGGCCATAAACAAAATTGTTTGCACCTGATGTAAAAATATGGAATATTATAACGCAACCCGTGGGCTCAATTTTAAACAATGAAACTTTTAACGTAGCCTATCAATGGTTAATGGACAACGACATAAAATCTCACCCCTACGACACAAGGGTTGATTCCCGAAATTCCTCGGAAATCAGCGACTTCCAAAGAGATGGACCTGGGCATTGTTATTCAAGAACAACAAGACTGTTCATTGCTATTCAGGGCTTCGTCCGTGGCTGAAAGTAACGTCGGTTTGCATTAGCTTCATCGTATATCATATCACGTCCGCTATCAGCGTAGATTCGAAAGTACACCCAGTATGTTATCGAAGCCTAGAAGCCATAGCTACAAAATGATCACGAGATGTTGGAAAGTTCACAGTAGACAGCTATCAATATGGTCGAGGATATGCCTTCCCTCACCCATGTTAACAGATTACAATCATTAGAATTAAATTGCTAATCAGTGCCGCCGAAATTCGAGGAGACATGATTTTGGTGTATCAAATACGACAGAATCAAACTTATCCGTATCATCTGCTACTTATGTTATCCCTTGGAATCCACTTTAGAGGACATACTGCCAAGTTAGTGCTCCGAAGACGTCCGCTGGAATGACAGAGTCAATCTTTCACCGTCAGTAAGTGCACAAAATGGAGCTCCCGTCTCACGTCGGTTGGGCGAAAAAGGCCAAATCATCCAAGCTGAGATTTACTGAAGCACCGCAAACCCTCACACATTCCAACACCAGTACAAACGCAAAATAGTGTAAGTAGACTGCATCATGTGGTATCCCCATATCCGGGTCAGTGTGTTACTTCCCATTTTTCATCGAGAAAAGATTAAACTGTGGTAATATACTAAAGGACATGAGAATCAAGACCTAGTAAGCTAATCGCACAATAAAACCTTAGCTTTGGCGCACCTTAGCGGGTCAGTCGTGTTGACCGATAAGTCTGTGGACATGCTAGCTCATTCTGTTTAAGAGCCAGTGCTGTCTACTCGATAAAACTCAAAACACAGGTATACTGGAGTAAATAGATGAAAATGGAAGTCACCGTACCCTCCAATTTTTGCGAAAAATATACATGTGTTCAGTGTAAGTTCAATAATTCGACCGCGTATGTGAGCTTTTGACTGGATTATGTTTTCAAGCTAACAAGAACCATTCGAACGGTAGCTGAGTGCTAAAAACATGCACTTTTTTGAAACAGTTTTTTTAATATTGCCTGAGCTTTCTTAGAAAAGGGAAACTATCACAATCTAGTGAAAATATCTTGTCCGTCTGAAAACAGGCGAAATGTTTAGGACATTTTGATTGATTGATTTGACTGACTATCCTTCGGACTTCACCGGCACGCACAATTCTCAGCTCATCGAAACAAACATACAGTCGGAAGCAAATTCTTGGAACGTTTTAGGCTACTTATGAGTAGTAAGAATTGATTAATGAAACCAATTCCGATAAGATACTAAATGAAGATTCATACTGCTGTTCTCATTACTGAGACTGGCAATTTAACCTGCGTTGGACGATATTCGCCGTTTCGCATCAGGAGCACACTTAATGTGCGTTGCATCTCCCACAAGAATCCAGGGAGACTGGTGGAAAGGCACATAATTCACCGTAGGACATTTTCACCATCAGCGTTCTTTTCTTCCACAGGAAAATGTTGGAGGGCCAGTTACTACTCCTGGTAGTTCCAAAGTATAGGTAAAGGAAAGGTAGTTGATTTTTGGTGGTCCTGGTTTTGGTGGATTGTGTGAGAGGCAGTTATTGCCTGTTTAAAACTGCCCGCCAAATTACCGGTGGATATTTAGGTAAAATATCTCGGGGTTGAATTAGCAGTGACACAAAAGTGTAACCATAAGTATCAGCGGGAGTTTGCGATTCCGCTTACATTCTACCGGCTTAGTCCGTGATATCCCTGCCAGCACCATCATCCTTTTA